TGCTACCACTTTTGCCTCCATTAGCGCTGGTCGCACCATTTTAATGCACTATCGACGCACTTCTATAAACTTGCTATCAAGCTAAATATATACGAAAAGTGTAGCCAATCCTGAGCCAACTTCTTTCGAAACCAAACATTTTTCGTGAAAAATTATGTTTACCGTCCAATAATATTCAATCACTGTACATGCAAACATTTCTCCTCTATCGATTCAAGTCTTGATAGACTTCATACACAAAACACARATSTTCATGATATTGAATTTTAAAAGACACACAACTGGATTTATATYCTTACTTCGGTGTGTGCTATGAATATACCACCATTCTGTATCCAACCCGGATCGCATCCCGTATCCTCTTCCAATTGTTTGAGCATATTTCGTGAATTGTTCAACAATTGTATATCCACATCGTTGGGTCGTAAACGCCATATCAAACCCGCCGTATGCCAGGTGGTGCCGGCTGTTAGTTTAGCACGTTCCAGCAGCACCGCCTTTACGCCGCGTTTAGCCAAGTGATACAATGTATGACATCCTGCCGAACCGCCACCAATGATAACAACATCTGCTGTTGAGGGTATTTGGGGCACAGCAGTCTCCGCTWTGACACTACTATGACGGTGTTGTGATGTCACTGCCGCTGTGTTTGACGAGAGGCTCGACTTTCCTGCCAATAATGTTTTTCTGCTAAGCTTCCACATTGATTCGTAGTAATTACTGCGCTTAAGTTCTCGATGACGACTGAACACAAATTATTTCAATTTAATTCTAAATCAAAGCTTAAATCATCGTTTAAAAAAACACGATTGCGCAGATGTCAAATAATTATAACAGCTAATTACCAACAAAAGGTCATAGGAAGCTGATAAAGRAAGGAGATAATAAGTGTTTGTTATATAGCCCTGTAGAAAACAAAGTTGAAACGGACTTAAAAATKTTTGAAGGGGGCTTAAGTTAAATCATAAATAAGTACACGAATTTCTAATAGAAAACTCATGATCATATTATATGAGTATATASTACTGTGATCAAATTGAAAGGTGAATTTTGTCCATTTCATCTCCTTCAAAGTAATCCCCTCTCCCTGCAATACACTTATGCCAACGAACTTTCCAGTCATCATTGCATCAAAATCCTCCGGCCATCAGAKCCTTCTTCTATTCAGCTTTTATATCCTCAATTGAGTCAAAACGGTGTCCTCGGAGTGGTCATGTGAATTTACTGAACAGCCAGAAGTTACACGAAGGTAAATGAGTTTCGAAAAACACGCGAATTATAAATTAAAATGTCACTATGGCTGTGTGCTACAAATGGGTTGAATCGGGTTTCCTTACCTCCCATATACATAATATACAGGTTTTCGAACTTTTGGGGTGACTTTATACGAGTATGTGACGTCCAATCGACAGATATCTGAGTGAACTGCACACGTTGAACCCGCCACATTCGGCAGACAAGATTATGGAGTCTACTTTGGGATGCACATGGAAAATTTTGTATTCAATACCTTGAAAAAGCAGGGACCATCAACAGCGACTATTACAAAGCGACCGCATTTGAAGAAAAATAAAGTGCTGTTCCACTAAGACAATGCAATGTGTCACAAGTCAGCGATGGCAAAAGTCCATGCATTTGGCTTCAAATCGCTTCCGTGTTCACCATATTTTCCAGATCTGGCTCCCAKCCACTATTTTCTGTTCTCAGATCTCAAAAGAATGCTCTCTGAGAAGAAATTTTCATCGAATGAAGAGGAGATTGCCGAAACTGAAACCTATTTTAAAGCAAAGAACAAATCGTACTACAAAAATGGTATCGAAACGTTGGAGGGTCGCTATAATTAGTGTATCGCCTTTTTAGGCAACTATGTTGAAGAACAATTAATTCTGCCAAAAAAATGTGTTTTACTATAGCAGACCGGGAAATTTCCAATTGACTTACATATACATTATATCAGCTATGATTAAATAATGAAGATTATATTCATCGCGAGACTGGTAGCCATATTTTAAAGATTTATGACGTGTTTTAAGCCACTTGCTACGAACAGTTTGAATTTYTATGTAAACATGGTTAAAATTATATTTAAGTATGTTAACAAGTGCTATGTAATTAATATTAATTGATTAACCTTTAGTTCACAAAATATAAATTATAATTTATAAAGGTTAGTACTTACCTGATAAGAATTATTGCTTGCGTCATTAATTTTTATAAATATATTATTTGCTAAATGTGTTTATAATAGATTATCCACTTAGGTATTGGTGATAATATGTATTTCCGGAGCTGAAATTAAAAGAATTGTGAAACTACTTTTGTAATTCAAGTAATTATGTAGAGATGTACATATGTGTATTAAATAAACTTATGTCTTCCCAATTAAGTAGTAATTGGTTAGAATGGACAGTCTGAGCGTCAATGAACCTTTACTTATTTTTAAACGTTAATAGTTTTTTATGTAATTTTTATAAATTTTTTACATTTGGCACATTTGCTTATACAAGGTGCGTTCCAAAGTAAACAGGACTACAAAAAAACAGTAAAAATGGTTTTTTTTGGCAAAATAAATTTATTTTATTCAAAATAGTCTCCCTCTGCTTCAATACAACTTTTTGCACGGTCCAAAAGCATGTCGAACGAGGGTTTTAGCTCGTTGGCCGGTAAGGCCGCCAGTATGCCGGTGCAAGCCTTTTGAATGGCTTCTACGTCTGCATAACGCTTTCCTTTCAGGTGAATACGGGGAGTGGTTAATGGTTAAAATATAATTTTTGGTCAAWTAATCGGTCACAATGATGTCCTTCGAATGTTGTGATTGTTGGATTCTGAGCAATTTTTGGTCGTCAATTAATTTGTGCGGCACAAACCGTGCACACACCTTTCGTAAGCCCAAATGTTCGGTCAAAATGTGATAAATCGATGTTTTGGAGACGTTAAATTTCATTACCATAAATTTCAATCACGCATTTTTGCTGAATTCACCCACAGTTGCGATGGAATTTTCGGTGATCACGGATTTTGATTGGCTCACATGTTGATCGTCATTTATGTCCTCACGACCTTCCAATCGATGAAAGGTCATGACAATCACTGGACTATCAAATATAAAAATAGCAGATTCTAACGGCGCCACGGAGGTGTGCTAGATAAATAAAGTCCTGTTTACKTTGGAACGTACATACCTTATATTATCAGAGTAGTACACGCTTATTGTGCTTTTGAAAAAAAGCTTTGATAACGAGTCAAACTTTTGAAGACGTACCAGTTTCGGCTAATGTTTAGCACTTAATTTGAGGCATCTAAATCAGAGATAAGAATACATTAAATGCTATAAAAATATAATTTTTTTAATACATGCAGTTGATATTTTAGTATGTATGTACAGTATATACATATTGAAAATTAAAAACAGAGTAAAATCTACTATTGCTGTCCCTTGGCAATCGTCACGCTCAAGTTCGTCGTTATTACTCGCTCAATGCAAATATAAGTGCTTGTTTAGATTTAGACACTTTTTGTCGGCCAAACCGATTTTCGTAGGCGAGAGGACGACGAAGGAACTCTTGCTCGGCTGTTCTTGTTCGAAACAGCTGACTGCTAATAAAGAATTTTTTCATGCTTCTTTCGTTCTAACCGAGACTATAAGCTATTTAAATGCGGTGGCCAGAGGTTGAGAAAGAGTGGAATTCTGGTGTAGAATGTGGTCAGACGAAAGCTAAAGGCCTACTATAACGCAAATAAGGTTCCCTCTGAAGTTTGTAACAACAGCTAATGGTTATCGTAGACGATTTGATTTTAACTTATCAAGTTTGCTTTAGATATGGAAAGTCGTCAATATACTATCAAAAACTTGATATAATCCGATGTTTGACAAGTTTTTATCCAMCACAAAAATTTGCTGCCTTTATTGTCGATCTCACCAGGTGAGTAAGAACGCAAAAGTGCGCTATTTTTTCCGAGAAACYGCAAGGTTTCAGACGAAACATAGTCATATAACTTCTTTATCACAAGTTGTGGAAACTGAGAAAGTAGCCCCAGGAATTATTAAACTTCGACAGAAGGCATGAACGATTATATCTACTGAGATGGTTTTAGAAATTTGTTGAAAAGTTTTGCGTATGCCGAAAGAATCTTTAGGCTTTAGAAAATTTGTAATTAATTAATTATTAAGAAATGTCGTTCGTATGTATAAATATTTTCGGATTTACCTACGCACAAGATTAAATGTATTGATCGATGACTAAATAGAATCTGGGATGAAARAATGTCGATAGTTTCAAAAAGTGAGAGTCTTTCTTAACTACCGTATAGTACGTATGTATGTATGCAACTACAAATCTATCACATCAGTTTAACAACTCGAAACATTTCATGTAAACAAATCTTGGTATCAAAACAAGGCTGGACCGCATCTTTAGCAATTCGTTCAGCTACTTTTCACATGGTCGCCTTTCGATTCGTTTATTTATTTACATGATCGCCCATATGTTTCCACTTAAATACTCAGTCGTATGCGTAGAGTCGTCTTCTATTTGTCTATTCCTTAGCTAGCTWCCTACCAATGAGATTGTCTTAAGATCTGTTAGTTAAAGAAGCGCTAGTATATATGTATATATATTGATCGTATGCTCCACCCACAATGCTCTAAAAATAGTCCTTTGGTCGATTCAWTGGCACTCGGGCGCGTAGATGAGCGTAAATACTAAGATGTTCTAAGATCTTATACCAGAAACGCATTGTATATGGTTCGTTACGGTCGGTTGACACGCATAAAGCATTATTCAACATCGTTTTTTTGCTGTTCTCGTGCTGTGATTATTGTAAAACTGTGATAGAATTTGAAAACCATTATACAAAAATGTGACATGAAATTACACTTACAGTGTAAGTGCGTTCAAGTGAAATTTAAAGAATATATATATATATATATTTATCTGTCTCTTATACACATCTAGATGTGTATAAGAGACAGGTGTAAGTGCGTTCAAGTGAAATTTAAAGAATATATATATATATATATTTATTACGAAAATAAAAGCATATAGATTAAAAACATAACCTCAAGGAAAATAATAATAATGCCAAGAAGAAAACGAGCTTCCAGCCCATTTGAAACATTCGATGACGATTTTGATGAGGACGCCAGCTCGCAAAGTAGGTGTTAAATGAATACCACGTTATAAAATATGGAGTGTGAAAGTGTTTAAAAACAACTTCTTATAAATGGACTCTGATTAAAGTATAGCTGAAAGAGCAGTCGAACTTACCTAAAGAGTAGTTGAAACTAAGAGGAATAGTATGGTTTTTCTAACGAGACGAAATATACCCTTATTATATTCCATAAATATGAGACAATTTTTGCTACAGAAAAGGGGTATAAACGCATATTAAAACTCCGAACGCCGATAATTAATTTTAATGTGTTTGTCTGATCATGTTTTCGTAMCACGAATAAATCGAGTGTGCGTTTTCTTGTCGCTATAGGTAACTGTCAGAGACCCTATTAGGTATATATTATATATAAATGAGCAACGTGACAAGCTAAGAGCCGTTTTGTTATTCTAACGAGTACATAATATCCGTTAGGATGGTAAGGATTAGAGAAGTTGTCATGGAGGTGTTGGTAGGCCCAGGAAACGTACTGTTTCGAGAGAGGAGTGTCAGATGTGTAAGGTTAGCAGGGCATGCAAAGAGGTGGTTAGTGACATGCAGGAACTCATGGTACGCTGGAAACATGTTTGAAATGTCAGGGTGGATTCTGGATAAATAGGAGTTTAACCTGCTACAGTATCCAGAAGGAAGCTGCGCAATTGTCACTCTCGATTCWCGCGGCAACTCGAGCTCTTCGTTTGCAATGGGTCGTGCTTTGACTCCAAGTACGCCATTCACTCAGGGGCTACGGCGAAGGTATTAATAGCTACACTGTAAATGGCGGCCAGTGCATGYCTGAAGTTTGTTGTGTCCGAAGTTTGGCCGGCGTATTGGTTTATGTCGTCGAAGTAGTTGAGGAATAATCTCTTGATGCTCCTAGGAGACCTTTCCGCTCCCCAGCAGAAATTGCTTGGAGAGTAGTTTATTTTGCTCTTTAACAGGGAGCATACAGGCCTCACGGTGCAGGTGTTCGGTGGGAGACATCAAGCGGCATCCTGTTGTAGTCCGGATTGCTGTGTTCTGATATGATTGCAGCTTCCTCGTCTGCATTTCACTGCATCTAGGCGACCATATTGGTGGGGCGTAGTTAAGGGCCGGTCGGCCGTTTGCTTTGTAAGTTGCCAAAAACGTTTCTTTGTGTTTTCTCCAAGTGCTGCCGGCTAGCGACTTAAGCGTTTGGTTGCGGCTCTATACTTTGGCAATAGTCACGAGCGTGTGAGGAGTGAATGAGCACAAACTGTCGAATGTCACACCAATAATCTTAGGATTATTGACACTTGGAATTTCAAAGCAATTGACTGCAATATTAAGGTCAATTCTGTACTGCTTCGTCCAGTTAGTGAATATGGTCGTTGTAGATTTTATAGAGGAGAGTGTTAGGTTCCGTGCAATTAGGAAGCGAGAAAGGTCGGAGAGATAGTCGTTTACGTTGACCTTTGCCGCAATGTCACGTTAAAAGCCATCTGCCAGTTAAGTTGAAATTAACTTAACCAAGACTCTTTCTTTCGATAAAGAACCTTATTTTAACTATTTAACAAATCCATTTCTCTCCATGAAACTGCTCATTTYTCGGAACCTCCGATATCGGTCCACTATAACATAAAACATGTAGCTACCATACAAACTTAACGATCAAAAGCAAGTTCTTGCGTGGAAAATTTTTTCATTTGATGAGATATCTTCATCAAATTGGCATAGGTCCATTGTCCAAGGCAATACAGCMATCTCCGAAGAAATTGTTCAGTTCGGGCATTCAATTGAACTGATTCAAATCAAGTTCTTGTTTATACTATTTTTTATTTGTGAATGGTATTCTAGCTTCAATACAACCGAAATTAACGTTTTCTCTTCCAAAACACCAAAAATAGACGTAACTCGTCATCTCATCTGAAACTTGACAACATTGAAACTCAGAGACTAATGAAGATAGTCAAGAATATATTTTCCCTATATTCCCTAAAACTATCAAAATCAGCCAATACCAACGAACTCACCCACCGAATGTAATTGCGACAAAAAAGTACCCGGAAATTGTAAATAAAAACGCAACTTATTTAATTGTTCATTAATATTTATTTTTTTGTCTTCAAAGTACATCTTCTCCACCAGATGTAATACACTTATGCTAACAATTTTTCCAGTCCTCGAAACACTTTTCAGAAGCCCTTTGATTGTCTTCAACTCCCTCAGCGAATTTTGTTTAATCTCTTCGATCGACTGAAAACAGTTTCCACGGAGCGGCAATTTCATTTTGGGGTGCAAGAAAAAATCACACGGACACAAATCTGGTGAATACGACGGTTGATCGATGGTATTCATTGCGTTTAGGCTTTAAATTCGGTCACAATCGTGGCCCGATGCAATAGTGCTCTATCATCAAGTCCATGGATTATTCTTCCACAATTCTGGCCGTTTTTGACGGATGTTTACACGCAAACGTCTCAAGACGGTCAAAGAGAACTCCTTATTGACCGTCTGTCCCTCCGGAACAAATTTATGATGAACCAAACCACGAGTATCGAAAATAAAACAATGAGCAACACCTAGATTCTTGAGCGACTTTAATATTAATTTTTTGTTTTCCTCTGTTCCGATKATTGTTGATTTGTTTGCATGTCAAACTTAGGAATCATTGTCTCACCGGCAGTTATTAATGCTTTCCATGAATGTGGAACCGGAATTCGCACGTTCAAACATGTGAAATTTACGGTACTATTTTTGAGAAAGTCACCTTTATTGGGACGATTCTAGTAAAAACGCGTTTCATACCCAAAATATCCACATTTCATTCGAACGGATTTGAGAGTGGTGTCGAGCTCTCTTGTTTCCTCTCTAACACTTGCTTTTCAAGAACTATGTAATTTCACTTTTTTAATATTTTCATCATATGAAAAGGTCGAAGGTCGTCCAGAACGAGACCTGTCTTCAACGATCTCTTGACATCTTTGAAGGATTTTTACCACTTGTAGGTATCTGATTTTGATAAAACTGAGCATTTTTCAACATTCGCAATGATCCCGCACACGAGATGTGCTTAGAAATGCAAAATTCTTTGACCGATATTTTTATCCTTTGTAAAAATCGCAACTTGAAATATTATATTAAATATTTACCCAGGGAATTGAATTAAAACCCTGGTCTTTTTTTGTGATAATATAAATTATCCACACTGTAAACAGTTAACCGGCCTTCTGAATTCTCACTAAAATCAATTTAAATTTCTACATTTTGGCAGCATGTAGTCAAACAGTAGTAAATTCTGGTACTCTACCCTCAGAAAATGTTAATGAGAGTATGGGTGTTTAAGGTAAAACATGTCTTATATCATGTTTTTTTTAAATTGGTCTATATCCGTATTTCATGTCAGTCAATTTTTCATGATATTGTACACTGACGACAGCTTAACTTCCTAATTTAACTTACTTAAACTCCCAGGTTCCAAAAATGGTAATCCACCAATACAACGTAACGCTGCCAATGCAAGAGAGCGTGCACGCATGCGTGTTCTCTCCAGCGCTTTTGGGCGACTCAAAACAAAGCTACCAAACATTCCCCCGGACACGAAGTTATCCAAATTGGACACACTGCGCTTAGCGACGATGTATATTAAACAGTTAAAAGTGCTTGTAGAAGGTGGCACAGCGACGGCAGAGAGTCCAGAGGCCTTTCAAGAGTCGGCGGGAATTTTCAATATGCAGGGGGTGCCACAGAGCATGGTAAGTACATATGTTCATAACTATTAAATATGTATACTACTATATTCGTTTATTTTAAATATTTTTTTATATCAGTTATAAACTAAGAAAGATTTCCCATGCACTGAACGACTCACTTCGACAAAAAAAAAAAAAAAACAAGTTTAATCTTAAATTTCCGGTTGTTAATTAGCTTAACCTGTTGCAAATATTTGTGAATGATGCCCATGAGAGTTTTTTTCTACCAACCATTCGTTCTGTATAATCGGTACGTATCCAATCGTCGAACGAGTATCCCAAAAAAATACTAGAGAACTTGCGTCTTTGTTTTTTGTGAGGTCATAATGCCGACGACAATTATTTTTACAGTACATCCTCTAATGGCTAGTTTACGAGGCTGTACTCGAGGTGTGTTCAGAAAAAATGGTTTCGCGAGTGTGGAAAATCCCCTGGGGTACGAAGCAATTTTCAGCTGTATTCATTGCTTAAATTGTCTGTAGCAGATGCTAAGGTTGGATGCGTTTTTGGGAGCTTAACGATTTTCTTTTGTTAAAAGCTCACACTATTTCCAAAAAGGAAGAGCCCACTGTTTTATACTATTATACAAGATAGCTGAAAATCGGTGAAAGAGCTGAAAGCTTTCTCACAAATTGAGTTTGATATAATTGGAAGAAGCGCTGACATAAGTGCATAATAGTCACACGGAACTAAAACCAACGAATACGGTGGTGGCGGCACGGTAATGGTTGAAAATTTGGCGAAAAACTTATGAAGAATGTATGTATGCAACAGTGATTATGGTGATGCAAAAATCAAGAATTGTCGGCCCATAGTTCGACATATAACACTCAAATAGTATTCCTTGTTGACAGTTTGGCCGGTCGAGAGGAATTCGGAATGCAACACACCGCGATGGTGACTGTCAAGCATAACTTTATTTTTTGACTTGCCTATTTCGGCCTATTTATCGTCTGTTTCCGGGTCGTAAGCATAACTCCACGACTCATAGCCAGTAATAATTCGTTTCATCACATCCGGTAAGTCGGAAAATATTGTTTCACAGACGTTGATGTGACGCTGTTTCTCAAAGAAAATTGGAACCAATCGTGTTTTCACTTTTCTTAGAACCAAATAATCTTTCAAAATGGTTTTCACTGATCCTACCGATATTCCAATGATGTCAGTAAGGTATCTGAATATTAGTTGTTGATTCTCAACCACCAATTCCTTTATTTTATTAACTTGTTGATCATCAGTTGCTGTTGATGGCTGTACTGGACGTGGTTCATGGTAAAAGTGTTCTCGACCCTCTTTGAAGAATTTGTACCAATCAGGGACRTTTGCTCCAAAGAATTAACACCGAAGGCCTTTTCCAACATTCTGTTTCGGCACCAGAAATTTRATTCCGTARGYAAAATTTAACGAAACTTCTGTTTTGAATAATTTCACTTCACTTCAGAAGGACATGCCTACACTGAATGCAAATGATTATTTTGATGTGGGATTTGGCACAGACACACTTCGTCACTATCTCATACCAATCTAGGAAAAAAATATGTATTTCAACAAATGTGTTTTCACACGAAGTTTAAAATAAAAATTCTTACTATTTTTTGCCCATAGTATTTTTGGCACAATAAAAAGTTTGAATAAATTTTTTAATTTATTATATGAAAAACAAGTAAAGAAGGGCTAAGTTCGGGTGTCACCGAACATTTTATACTCTCGCATGATAAAGTGATAATCGAGATTTCTTTCATCAAGATATCTCAATTTTTACTCAAGTTACAGCTTGCACGGACGGATAGACAGACATACGGATTTTAACTTTACTCGTCACTCTGATCACTTTGGTATATGTAACCATATATCTGACGATATACCGTTATTAGCAACTTTATTGCGAGAGTATAAAAATGATGCCCCCTGAATTACATGAAAATATCTGAGAGATTTACCGATATTTTTGGTGAAAAATTAGGTTAGGTTAGGTTAGGCACTGAGTTCTTCGTGTTCGATATCAGGGACCTTGAAAAGTTATAGTCCGATCACGACAATTTTTCCGCAAGGGATACCTCAGCTCAAATACCGTATTTGTGTAAAGTTTTGTTCCGCTATCATCATTGGTTCCTAATGTATATATTATACAGAGAAGGCATCAGATGGAATTCAAAATAGCGTTATATTGGAAGAAGGAGTGATTGTGAACCGCTTTCACCCATATTTCATATATGTCATCAGGGTGTTAAGAAAATATTATATACCGAATTGTATTGAAATCGGTCGACTAGTTCCTGAGATATGGTTTTTGGTCCATAAGTGGGTGACGCCACGCCCATTTTCAATTTTAAAAACAGCCTAGGTGCAGCTTCCTTCTGCCATTTCTTCCGTAAAATTTAGGGTTTCTGACGTTTTTTGTTAGTCGGTTAACGCACTTTTAGTGATTTTCAACATAACTTTTGTATGGGAGGTGCGCGTGGTTATTATCCAATTTTGAACTGTGTATGGAAATGCCTGAAGGAAATGACTCTGTAGTTTGGTTGACATAGCTGTAGTAATTTCCGAGATATCTACAAAAACTTAGTAGGGGGCGGGGCCACGCCCACTTAAAAAAAAACTGCTTCCAAATATGTCCCTCCCTAATGCGATCCTTTTTTTTTTTTTTTAAATATTCTGCGAAAAAACATCAAGATAAGGAAAAAAATGACACATTCGAACGCCAAACCCTTTGAGGGTTTTACTATACTGACCTAGTACCATCACCCTGACTTGGATTTCTCACCCCCCAGACWATAATCCCAAAAATGTTCCACAGTAATRTTGACAATACTCGGAAAATCGAGAAACCCCATGTCATATACAATAAAACTGCAGGTTTTCATTACTGACTTATACTCCTTCCGAAATTATCTACCATATACATAAGTAAATAGTAAGTCAACAAAACAACAACAAGACACTTCGTCACTATCTTAAGTGAGTGAATATTACTCAATGCTTAATTTGTTATTGTTAACAATTATCTAAATATAATTATATAAAATGTTTTTGTTTTACTATTTAATTAGCAGTCCCTGGTTAATTGCGACTCAAAAAAACTCACACATATTTACGTGTAATCCGTAAAGAACGATTACCGCTTATTACATTGCATTGCGCTACTCAACACTTCTGCCACTGGTAATTTACAACAGTTGAGTTATCTCTCCTTAATTTGCCACATAATAAACATATGAGACGATAAGTATACGAGCCACAACACCCCCTCCAAAAACAAAATCAAATACAAATTATAACGCAAACTAACCTATTCTGTATGTACATTTGTATGTAAGTAGGTGTATTTTTAAGTGATGTCAGTGCAGTTGCTGCTCCAGAAGAACTCGTCGGCATTTAAGTACTTACTCCATATGGCCACAGGTGCATTTTGTCAATTGATGGCGCGAGCGTCGATGTCAAATTTGGCTGTCACATTAGCAGCCGAGAAGCGTCCGCATCTACACAATGGCACAAATGTACATAAGTACATGAGTGTATTATCTAAATAAATACATACAAACATACATGAAAGTGTGCACGACCATGCGAGTAGTTCTCAATTAAAATCATTATATTAAAATAGTTTTTATAAGTGTCTGGATGAAAGTCTAAAACCATTTGCTAAGTACAATCCTATAAAATAAATATACCTATGTATTTTTAAAGTAGAATACACCGGCTGGGCTGGGACTTTTAGACAGTTGGTCACCCTTACTGCAGACGGACGCAACATGCGCATTTAAGCACGGTTCGGCTTTGAACGTGCCCTCTGTGGGCACCCTAATTCGAAGATAGGCTTTAGATGTTATGCATATTAAAATACTTAACGCATTCATAAAGTGGTTTATTAGGTGTTTGTTCCAGTTTAATACCAACTTAGTAGTTTTCGTCTTCTAGATATATAATAAAAYTCGTAAAGCTCAAGCTTCTTCTGGACGCTTTATACATTTTTTCACTTACTATGCTGTACAAAATCCGCTCAGATGTTTAATATTGAAAGCCAATGTACAGTTGATTTTTGGAAAATGACTCTCTCAATAAATTATATATTTTTCCGAGTGGGAATCTAAACCCAGTCTCTCGAGCGGGAGCTATCCAAGTGGCTAGCTATTTGGTTCCGAACTCAAAAGCATATATGTATGTACATTGTGACAAAGAGTACTCGGAAATTATAAATAAAATATTTAATTATTCATCAATATTTATTATGTCGCCTTCAAAGTAATCCTCACCAGATGTAATACACTTAGGCAAACGATTTTTCCCGTYTYGGAAACAATTTTCAAAAATAYTTYTTAGTATGRCCTTCAGCTTCTTCAGCAAATTTTGTTTTACTTCTTCGATCAACTTGAAACGGATTCCACGGAGAGGCTATTTCARTTTGGGGGAAAATAAGTAATCATACGGAACCAAGTCTTGGCTTTAAATTCGGTCACAATCGTGGCTCGAGTACATTGTTATCGTGTAAAATCCATTAATTGTTATTCTACAATTCCGGCCGCTTTTGACGGATGTTCTCACGCAAACACTTCTATGCGGCCAAATAGGACCCCTTATTGACCGTCAGTCCCTCCGAAAGAAATTCAGGATGCACCAAACCACGAATATCGAAAAAACAATGAACATCACCTTGATTTTTGAGCGGCTTTGACGTTTCTTTTTTTTTTTTTGTTTCTGCTCGGTTTTGCTCTCCATTCCGATGGTTGTTGACTTATTTGCATTGAATTTCATAAACCCATGTCTCATCGACAGTTATGATGTTCTCCATAAATTTGGGATCGGAATTCGCACGATCAAGCATGTCCAAAGAAACCTGTTTACGGAACTCTTTTTGAAATACAGCTTTTTCGGGACGAGTTGAGCAACAACGCGTTTCACACCCTAAACATCCACCAAATTCATTCAAAGGAATCGCGAGGGAAGCTGAGCTCTTTTGCCATCTTTCTAACATTTGCATGACGATTTTCGAGCAGAGGAGAGAA